GAAAAGGCTGGACATTTTAGTCATTTGTCACTGTTTACACCTTCCATTTGGAAAATGCAGTTACACATTAAGTAATCATCAAATTTTTAGTTCTGCTTGGCTGGTTTTAATGTTCAGTACCCACAAGTTCTTTTTGCTTTTCCGGGTTTTTTTTTTCACTTTAAGAAAATAAAACTTTTTTCATATGTTTTATTTATTTATTTTTATTGTTGACACTATTACAGAAGTCCCCATTTTTTCTTCTTTGCCTCCTCCACACAGCCCCACTTCCTCTTCCCTCTGGCTATCACCATACTGTAGACTGCGTCCAGGCTTATGCATATATGTTCTTTTGCTAACAGTAGCCATTCTGGCAGGTATGTGGTAGTATCTCATTGTGGTTTTAATTTGCATCTCTAATGATTAGTGACATTGAACATATATGTCCTCTTTGGAGATGTGTCTATTCAGGTTCTTTTCCTGATGTTGAGTTGTATAAATTATTTATTTTGGAGATTAACCTCTTATCAAATGTATCATTGGTGAGAATATATTCTCCCATACAGTGGGTTTCCTTTTCTTTTTGTTGATGGTTTCATCTGCTGTGCAGAAGCTTTTTAGTTAGAGGTAGTCCCATTTGTTTATTTTTTTCCTTTGTTTTCCTTTCCCTGGGAGACACATTGGCAGAAATATTGCTCTGGAAGATGTCCGAGATTTTACTGCCTATATTTTCTTCTAGAATTTTGTGGATTTTTTTTTCCGACTTATATTTAAATCTTTTACCCACTTTGAGTTTATTCTTATATATGGTGTAAGTTGATGGCCTAGTCCAGTTTTTCCATATGCATGGTCTATCCTAGAAAATGTTCCAGTTCTTTTGTGTCCTACCATCAGTCTATCTGCAGGCTGATGCTCTATCCACTGAGCCAAACTGGCTGGGATGAGTTTGGACTACAGGTTCAAGCTTACAACTATAGCTGTAAGCTGTCACTATCTCTCCATCAGATGGAAGTGATAACAAAAAAAAAGTTTTCTAAAAACAGGTATCTGAGGAGGGAAAACATAGGGCCACTATTTTTCATTGTGAACCTTGTGAAAACTATATGCATATTGTTGCTGGGTTAAAAAAATTTTTTAGTGTTAAATTCTATTAACTCTTAGGCCATTTCAAGTGATGTGTTTTTCACATGTCCCCATTACACATCAGGAATGCAAAGATGAGTACAGTGGGGCCTGATAGAAGAAACAGACCCATACACACCCTCTTCATTTGAACTTACACAGAAATTCTTCCAACTTCTTACGCACTTACCATATTCCAGTTGTATATTGTTTGTTTACTCTTCATATCCTGCTGCTAGATTATTATGTTTTTGAAAATAGGAACACTTTGCTTTAAAACCTTCAATCCTTTTATCTCCTTACATGCAGTTGGTAGAATTGAATTGAGGGGTTTAAGCCATGTTGCTTGTTATCTCACGTTTTGGAGCCTTGGGGCAAGAAATATTCTTACTCAAATTTATAGAGGTGCCAGCTGTTAAGCATTATTTCCTATCTTTTTGTAAAAGTGTAATTTACCTAGTGTTCTGAAATCTGATTCTATGGATATTGGTAAAATACTATGTATTTAAGAGTTCATTCTGGATTACAGATAATGAGAATTTTTATTTCTTGAAATTTAGGAGCTAGTTTCTCATTTGAATAGCTATAGTAAAAATTTATTTCTGTTTTTACTGATTTGTTTGTTTATATCCCCAAAGAACCCCTTTTACTTAATTCTAAGGGGACTGTTATTCAGTGCATTTGATACTTTGTCATATTAGGGGATGATTAATCGTTTTAATATTTTAATCCCATGATGCCCAAATAATCAGTAGATTGCTTTGGAGAGAGCATTTGGTCTACCCTCCTGGCTATTTCCTAAGGTAAGAGAATGTCCAAGCTGTTCTAGGCAGATGGTAGGGTACGATTTTTTTTTTAAAACATAGCCCTACTCCCACACTCTCCCCCATTTAAAGCGATAGGTACTTCACCAACCTCACCGTGTTCTTTTAAGAGAGTTTACTTGGTAAACCCAGACTTCCTCTGTTTAATTCAGCCTTACTTTTCATGTTATTTTTCTACTTATAAAGATGTTTCAAGATATTCGTTAGCCCTGTGGCTCTTTGTAAATTATCCTTAGGTTGATAAGGCCTGATTTTATATTTACAGAAATAGAATATATTTTATAGGTCAAAAAAGTAATGCAAATAATTCTCCAAATGCTGGTAATCAGTGTGATAGAAGTGAATAGTTTAAAAAGTGCTACTTATATTGCAAAACTTAAAAGTAAAAAGTAACTTGTAATTCCATTTACAAGTTAAATTTATTAAAAAATAAATCTGATTTTTAAATTTTAAAACATTTCTCAGATTTTTCTAAAAATCTAAATATTAAAGGACATTTAGTCAGGAGAAAATAAAGCAAAACAAATGACTACATTTCCTGAGTAGTTAAGTTTTCTGTGTAACTCTGGGTATCTCCCCTGTGCTGGAACTAAAGTTTGTGAGATTTTATTCTGCTTGGACTTTACCTCACATGTACGTATTTCAGGGGACATCCAGAGATTTGGGTGGGGTTTAGACTCAGGGAAAGAGCAGCTTCCAAAAATCCTAATAGTACGAGAGTTCATTAACCTTTTTCTCTATTTTTGCGCATGTTTATACCATAGTACAAGTTACCATAGTAATTCTCATAGAGTTAAGATTCTCATAAAGATATGATATTGCAACAATAAAACAATAATAGTATACTATAAAGAGGAACACTCAGAGAACTCTTAGAAATTAAAAATATGATAAAATTCAATAAAACTAAATAAAAAATTTAGACATTAAATATGAAATCTGCCAAGAGGACAAAAGACAGAGATGGGGAAAAAATGAATTCCAACCTTGAATCCTATATCTAGTTCAATTATCAACAAGGTGTGTAGATGGAAAGAAGGCATTGCAGAAATGCAAGGTTTTAAAGAACCCTTTGCCAAGAAACTGCTAGAGAATGTGCTTCCTAAAAATGGGAAGGAAACCCGGGGAGAGGAAGACATGGGTGTCATACACGTCAACTCCGTTTTGGGCGTGCAGAGGACCACCAATCCGCCAGAACGATAGTGAAGGCCCCTGGCAAGAAGAAAACTACGACAGCCCGTCCAGAACCTGGGTGAAACCCCTCGGGGAGCTGGCATTGAAAGGATGTCTGATGCATGTGTGTGCCTTGGGGATAACCTCTGGACCGCAGGCCAATCTGGCTCTGTCTTTTTTTTTTTAAATAAAATTTTATTTGAACACAACTGCACCCTTTTATTTACACATTGTCAAAGGCTGCTTCCGCACTGCTAGCAGAGTTGAGTGTAAATATAGGGTGTCCCCCCAAAATGTATACACACACTTTGAATAATAATAATAAAGGCAGTATTTATTAAAATAATTTCATTTTCAAAATTGAGCTGTTAAAGTGTGAGTACATTTTTTTGGGACACCCTGTGTTTTTTTATCTGACCCTTTAAGAAAAAGTTTGCAGACTTGATCTAGGGAATTGATTCTAGACAGTTGGCCAAGAGCTTGTGGCTGAATCAGTTAGGTTTACATACACAACTGTAACTGCTCAACTCAGGAGAACAAAAACTGATCAGGAAAGAAAAAATAGCCATGATTTACTATATGGCTTAACTTTGTATATATTTACATGATGATAAAAATGCCAATGTCTAATATTGTGCTAATTAAAATTACCATACTAACTGCATTAGGAAAATGAGAAGGATGTGCATGTGTAATGGGAGTAGGAAGGAGCTTAATCCTCACTTTCCATAGTGAGTCAGTAGAAAAGCCTCAAAACTCAAGAAGAACTGAGGTGATACATATTAAGATAATTGACTACTAGTAAAAGAAATAAAATTTGATTCTTCTCAGAAGGGAGAAACTAAGGGCAGAGGGACAGGGTCTACTGTTTTTTCATACAAACATTCATTTTGTAGACTTTTTAACTGTGTATCTCAGTAGCTTTAATAAAGGGGGAAAAATTAAAACCTCCTCCCCCCCTCACCCCCAAATTTGGAAAACAAAGAAGAAAAGAAACCCTTTCCCAAGGTCAGCAAATACATAGCACTTCCTTATCCTGTGGTGCTCTGTCCTTGCCTCCAGGGGACATTTATCAGAAATCATTCCCATCTACTCACTGTGGAGTCAAGATGGGGTTGCAGCATCTCCAGAATCATGCTCTAGCCAAGAGTGGGCTTTGCTTATGAAACCACTATCTCTGATATAATTAGCAAAATGGCACCAATTTAGGGGTATCCTGTCAAGTTCAGACATTCCCAGTAAAAGAACGTGGCAAAGCTGCATTATTTGGCCTAGCATTCAATTACTCTGGTGTCCGAAAGGAGTTGCCTTTTAAAATTTCATCTTTTCTGCCGAAAACGGTCTGGCTCAATGGATAGAGCGTCGGCTTGGCGACTGAAAGGTCCTGGGTTCGATTCAGGTCAAGGGCATGTACCTTGGTTGCGGGCATATCCCCAGTAGGGGGTGTGCAAGAGGCAGCTGATCGATGACTCTCTCTCATCGATGTTTCTAACTCTCTCTCTCCCTTCCTCTCTGTACAAAATCAATAATGTATATATATTTTTTAAATTTCATCTTTTCTAAACACCATTCCCACTTAACACACAAGCATGGAAGGACAGTTATTTCTCAGTAATTATTTGTAGATATAGGATAATCTAATAATATGTTTCTACCATTGAGCACTAGGGCTAACATATAATAGGCTAGTGAATGTTTGAATGAATGAATAAATGAACTCGGTAAAATAATCAACATTTAAAAAAAAAATCATGATAACTTGAGAAGCTGAAAAAACCAACCCTTGCAAAAAGAGAATTCCATACCTTTCTTCAGCTTTTCAGTCACCAAAGCTAAATTGTAGTTCTGAATGACTTTGACTTCTACATTAAAGTAGTTTTTGCTCTTTTTTTTCTTAACTAGGATCTTTCCAATTAAGGATGTACCCCTGGAAACTGAAGAACTTTCTGATTGGCTCTATCAGCGTTTTATTGAAAAAGAGGACCTCTTAACGCATTTTTATGAAACAGGTACGCAGTATCCTATTACATACCTTCCTGAAGTTACTGATAGTTCAAGAGAAGCATTTTTTTTTTAATTCTTCAGATATCCTAAATGAATCAGAGTATTCTCTACTTAAGGATTTCATCTTAGAATTTTCATAAAGACAAGCTTACGTGAAATGTGTCCAGGCACTTGTTCATTAGCCATGTACAAATGGATCTAGTTCAAGAGAGGACACAGTCTGTAGAAGACTTGTGATCATACATTTGCAGCCAGCTATATGGCCTGTTTTATAAAATAGCAAATGACCTTTATTTTTGGCATTGTAATTTGATTGTTTAAATAATACCATCATCATTTGTAAATATTTTTTAATATGCTTTATTTTTTTTTTTAACATATAGGGATAAAGTTCACTATTTAGTTTTCATGGATACAACCTTATACTTCTCTCCTTGGGAGAAAAAAGTCTATATTTACCCCAAGTTTCTTTTCTATATTTAATATTTCTTATGTTCTATGAGACCTACTGTGCAGTGAAAAAGACGTAACAGGGGAGGAGGAGAGAGGAAGGAAGAAAGGAAGTTTTGAAAGGAGGAAATTGACGTTGTTAGAACTCCAGGCACTATGGAAGTGCTTTCACAAATAGCTATTTGTAGGCCTATTTTCTGGAGCAGGGATAGAGACCCTTTTTCCTGCCAAGGACCATTTGGATATTTATAACATCATTCAGAGCCCATACAAAATTATCGACTTAAAAATTAGGCTGCTATATTTGGTCAAATATTTAATTAACTCACCCATAATGCCTTGGCAGGGCCAAGCGAGATGATTTCCCAAGCCCCTCTATATGGTAGTCTCTAGCACAGGCCGGATATTCCACCTCTGTTCTAGAGGCTACCTCGTGAGGGAAGAAGTGAAAGTTGTTCCAGTTTGAGGATGGCCATGGGGTTTTCCATGAACAGAAGGCACTATTTTTCCCCCCACTTAGATATTTTTTTGGTACAGAATTTTAGTTCATGCTGATCAGACTGTAAAGGCCTGATGTTGAGCAAAGGCTGATACAGTGATTACCTTTAGTACTTTAGATTTGGGGTTTAGGACTGTTGCACTTTGCCCTCCAGAGGATTCCTTCCTGATCTTAACTTTCTGATCCTGGGGCTGTGGAGTAGTGCCTATTAGTGTGACAGGAGTTGGGCACTGTGTATGTCTTTAAAATTCCTAATTAGATGCCCCTCTCCATGTGTGCAATCCTTGGTCTCACTCTCAAACTTTCCTTAAAGATGAGACAGGATGGATGTATAATAAGGATGAGGCAATTAAGAGGCTAATAAGCTCTCTCTTTTTTTTTTTTTTTTTTTTTTTCAGTCTGTCTCTTGCTTTATGATATTTGCCCTAAATTGTACAACAATAATGGAAGCCTCTTTTGAATAAAGTTATTTGCATAATAGACCTTAAAACTTGAAAGTGTTCTCTGTACATTGCTTGTGAGAAGCAAATCCCTTCATGAATCAGCTTAGCCAGGGGATTATCCACAAGGGCAAAGACTATTTGAAATGCTGAAGAGTGTTACCAAGATGACCTTAGATAATATTGCCCTGAAATGGTCTAGCTTTCCTTCCCAGAAATCTGTTTACTTTGTGTATTAATTATATGATAATTAATATAATTAATTAATGCAAAACACTTAAATGATCCTTTTTATTATTAGGATATATTTCATAAACCATATTGCCTTTTAAAAAGATTTATAATCACTTTTTTTTTTTTTTTTTCCTATTGGATACTTGAAAGAACAACCACTTTTTTGTGGCCGAGACATTTAATTTGTAAATAGAAGAATGAATGTAGGTTCATGCTATTTGGGAAAGTGTTCTTTATCGACTTCACACATCTTGTGTCCTGGCCACTGTGGAGATCTCTAGAGACACGGTGGGAAAAAGGCCACAGAGTGCTGCTCTCTTGCAGCTGACACTGCCACAGAAGACAGTCTGTAGGAAAAAGAAGATATAGGTGGGGATGTTACAGATTGTGCAAAGTGCTGAGCCGGAAATAAATATAGAGGTGACAATGCCTGAAGGGGAGAACGGGTAGGCGCGGTGGACAGGGAGAGGCGGTATTTTTTTCTGATACTGGAACAACGCAGGTGTCCCAGCCATTCACTGCGATGGAGGAGGAGCACCCCAGGCAGAGAGAATAGAGGCAGAGGCTCAGGCAGGTTGAAAATTATATTTCATATGAGATCTCTCAAGAGCAATGGGGAGTCACAGAAGATGCATTAAAAAAATTATAGTTAAAACTAATATTCAACTTTTACTCCAGGAGACCCTCCGCGGCAGTAAAACAAAGTAATGTTTCCATCTTGTTTTTCAGGGGCTTTCCCGCCCTCCCAAGGCCACAGGGAAGCTGTTTCCAGGGAGATGACCCTCAGCAACAAGTGGATCTTCCTCATCCAGTCTTTTGCATTTTTGTCAGGCTACATGTGGTACAACATCTTTCAGTATTTTTACCATTGCCTGTTTTAGGAACTGACATGGACTTGTCAAGGTCACCATAGGAATTCCAACTTTTCATGAGTGCATTATTTCACATGTGCAAATCAGGATATAAAACAAGCAAAGGAAATTCCATGGATGGATTAATATTTATCCCCTTTGGGATATTTTAAAACTCTGCTAAAATGAGGATCAGTAATCTAATGACCTGCTAATATGTTTTAAGGATTTTTCATGTTTTAAAAAGATACATTCTGCAACACATGTAAACGAACATCACATTTGGAGAAGAGGAAATCATAAAATCATCCTAGAAGACAGAGAAATTCTGTTGCCAGCAGATACTTGATCACCTAGTTCAAGCTCAGAGAGCTGAGCTCACCCTCCCAGCTAATAGTCCCCCTTAGGGCAGTGCTGTGAGCGCCCTCACTGCCCGCTCCCGCTGTGTCACTAGGAACCTCCAGGGGGGCTGGTTGGCACCTTCTGAAGAACTGGCGCCCTGTCCTTTGCAGTGACGCTCCAGGCCTCACAGCTTCGTGGGGTCCGGAGTCAGGCGTGCTGTGGCAGGGAGCAGCGTCCACTGGACACGTTCAGTCCTGGAATGGGCTCTTTCAAAAGGCAGGCTCAGCCCGACACCGTGTTTACATGCGCTAGTGCTTTCCGTGTGTGTGTGTGTGTGTGTGTGTGTGTGTGTGTGTACATGTGTGTGCATGTGTGTTGCAGGGGAGGGCACTTGATTTCTCCTTTTATATAGAAGGCATATCGTAGAGTGATCATTTTCTCTTACAAAATGCACTTTCATCAGCTGCATCTGTAGCAGAGGATTGGTAGTATAGCTTGGAAACCAGTCTGCACAGAATCAGTGAGGGGGACTCGGGCTGTCCTGTCTGCGTGTTTTAACCTGCGCTCCTGCTCCCCCGCACCTCCCTGAGCTGGGCTCCACGCCTGGGGGTGGGAGGCCCTTCAGCTGTCCTCTTGTTTGTTTTCATTTTGGTATGTTAGCACCAATTGCGTTTGAGTATGGTTTAAACAAATTAATGCAAAAAACACTTAAATGATCAGTATACGGTGAGATAGGCTAATTTATTAGAAAAATAAAAGCTAGAGCCAGACACTGGCTTAAAATGGTGACAGGCCATCACATGGCACCCAGCACCTGTCTCATCAGGGAGCTGCCCCTGTCGGGGCGGTGTGACCAGGAGAGACCAGCACGCGAGGCTTCCCAGGCTCTTCCTGTTGCTTTTGAAGAGGATACAGTCGTGTCTGTTTCTAGAAGACTTTTTTTTTTTCTTCTTTTGTCACTATGTTCATGCAGTTTACCTCACAGTAAAACCAGTCTCACAAAGTGCTGGCCCTGCACCGGTCACCGCGGTCGCCGCCTGCACCCAGCATCGTGGCGGCGACGCCCTCTGCCTGGGATTGTGAGACAGATTCTGGTGAGTCAGTGGTGGTTTTCTGTGACATGACATCGTAGATCCCCCTGTTGTCGCTAATCATGCAATCTGACGGTTCTGAGAAGGAGGCCGGAAGGTAACAGTGAAGGTTGATGCTTTTTGCTTTTCAATAAACCAAAACAAAACATCCACAAAACCAAAACACTGAGAAGATAAGAATTTCCTCCCAGTTGTGTGGAAAAGGTAAAGCAGCACCAAATAAAAGCCCACAGCGGCTTCGTGTGAGAAGAGAACGATGCCTGAGCTGAAATACCTCATTGATCTTACTACTGCCGGGGAGACGCAGAAGGCAGGGTTTCCGTGCGCGGTTTGGGAATGGCTGTCATACGGTGCCACTTTTTCAACATTTTAGCATTTCATTATGTGCTTTACAGGGACGGTGAGTAGGTGGAACCAATCTCAATTTAGAGGTACAGACACAGATAGGAAGCCAAATGGAAGCTTAGGGACACTTCTGTTTGAGGCACAGCAAATGCTATCAGATGACAAGGTGAATTGGAATTACTCATTCGAGCGGTTGGTCAGCCATCTGGGGGACAAGTTGTTCATTGTCAAGGATGGCAGACAGTCCCAGCTGTTAGGCCTTTTCCTGGTTGCTAAAGCAAGCCCCAGGCAGAGTGGCCAGTCTCCTGTGAGGGAAGAAGAGAAATGCATGCGCAGATGTGGTTTATTTCACCATCACTGAGACCAAAGGAGGAAGCTATTGTTTAATGTACTGTACACATTAAACAGGCTGTTCTCTAAGATGCTTTACTTTCCAAGCACAGTCATTTCAACAGCCTCTAGATGTGTGGGTAAATTTTGAACATAGATCTGTGAGCTGTAAATAGGTGTGTGTTTGATATGCCCCATCCCCTTCCCCTTGTTTCTTTCTCAACACGTGCCCTCTCTTCTGTTAGCAAACATGCTGTGTGAGAGCATTGCTAGTGCTTTCCTTATCAGTAACGGGGGTTCTCTTGTTTGTATGGGGGAATGTAAAGAGCGAATCGGTGTTCTTATATGGCAATCAGGGAAGCAGCAATATGCCACTGTACAGAACCGAGTAAAAATCCCTAATCTGTACTTCCTTTGTACAGCGAGTGAAAGGAGGTTTAGCAAATAGCCACTTTGTCCAGGGGAAAGAAGTAACACTGGCCAGTTTTATACCGGGAGCTCACGGAATCCCAGCTGACCCGCCTGGATTCCCAAAGCAGACAGGGCTGCAAACTCGCTGCCGGATCCCAGAGTCACAGTGATGGGGGCACCTGCTTGGCCTCAGGGAGGGGCAGCGACCACAGAAGTGACCACCCCAGAAGTTCACGCGTAACTTCAGAAACCACTGCTGGTGTTTAAATACGCAGTTATTGTAGAAAGCCTATAGGCCAGTGGAAGGTAAGGAAAAATTGCAGAATGGAAATGATGTCTTGGGTAGTCACACAAGTTAATTGAGATTCTAAATAGTAGATTAAAAAAAATAGCTGTGAAATTCGTCATATTTTAATATTACACACAGTCCTTAATTTTCCATAGTAAATGAACCGGAGATTATGCATAATTATTCCAGTAATAAGTCATGGTAAGCCAAAAATCTGATTGCATTTAGGAGTTTGAATTTTCATTCTCATAAAACTTTTTTTCCCCCTTCCTAGATGCTAATTTTTAAAAATGATATGAGTTGTTTATTAGCTTCCCTTGCCTATATATTTGACTGTGTTGATGTGTAGTGGAAAGATTTGGAAAGACAGCCTTAGGAAGAGAAAACATAGAAGCCTGAATAACCCATGGTCTAGAAAAGGAATTCCTAATAATCAAGAGTTGGCGGTATTGTGGTTGTTCTCAAGCGTTTTTATGGAAATTAAATGTTCAATCGCCAGATGCAAACCTCAGACCGTCATTCTAGCATTCGTATCATTTGGATCAATGTTAAGAATGCCTCTTCAGTCTTTGCTCATGATGCTCACTTTGTGGGGATTTGTCTTAGTGACATTTTTGACAATCATTTCCCTGAAGACTCTTCTGACTTAGTAGGACCTGGTTCTAATCATAGGATGTAGTCTGTAATCATGGATAGTCCGATTGGATTCTTTTTGTATTCAAACTGTGTTTGCACTGCTGCATAGGAAGAGGTAGTTATTTTCTTCACTACACAGAACTTCACTCCAGCGTCACCATGACGAGTGTGCCAGCGCTGGCCCACAGAGGATGGATACGAATGGTTGGTCTTATTTTTTGCCAGGCAATGCTGTGAACCTTGCTTCTGGTAACATGAAAGGCCAAGTCAAAAGCCGCACTGGGCAGCAGTTGAACTGGTTCATTGTCTGAAGGGTCGAGACTAATCTATTGGGACCAAAACCATCTACATTGGGCATTTCTAGATCACGAGGGGGCCGGGTGTTCTCTGGATGAGGCTTTATTGCATCCATTTTGCATTGATCCCCAACAAGGAGGAGCTAGACCTGGAAATGAGCTGAGAGTGCTGAGCTGTTGGGGGAGGCTGACTGTGGTCGTATGGAAGGTAAAATACATGTTTTTCTGCAAAATTTCCATTTGAGGGTTTTTACATTTAATATTTTTTAAACAGTTTAAAGAGCAAAAAAATAGTGTATTCTAGTTGCAAAATATGCACACATGTTTTGAATGGCTTTATTTTTGTTGTGTAAAACTGTTGAACACATGGCTGCGGTGCACAAATTCTTTACACTAAGGAGTCTAGATGCATTTCACAGTAACTTATGATCGGTAATGAAACAGTAAGACATCGAGCTGCCATTGTTAAGTGCTTTCATTTTCTGTCAGTTCTCACAAAGTTGTATTTATTTTATACAGATGGATTTTCATTTTCTTGATGCCATAATGTTTACTTCAGCTTGGTGACCTGTCTTTCTTTGTGTATCTGCATGTTGTAATGTATGATAAGAATGAATGTAAAGACTGTGGCAACTGTAATTTTTGTAAAGGGCTGGTCACACGTGGATCTGGTTTATGAATGCATTGGGATTACTTTAGCAACCAGATTACCTTTTCAGAAATTGAGATGTGAACACCAAAAGAAGCATTTTCTCAACAAAAATTAATAGCTGGTTCTATTTTTTTTAACCTAGAAAAAAATAAAGTTGATTTTTTTTTTCAAGTGAAGTGCTTTTAATTCTTAGTAGGGGCATGGGGTGTTTGTGTTTTCCTGGAGCTGTTTTGCCATTAACATCTATAGACGTGTACTCAGAACACACCACGACAGTTGGATCCTGAGGGCAAACTGAAAAACACTGTTCTCTCGTTTTAAACTATGTCCCTCTCCCCTTTCCAATTCTCCCCATTCAGAGGTATACTGGTCAAAATGGTTAGCAGTCACTCTCCTGGAAAAAAAAAAAAAATGTATACACGTTTACATAAGTTATAAATTTTGCTGATAGCAAGAATTTTATAACATGATTAATAGATAATAAAATATACTTTACTGTAAATTCCATATAGCCAATTGATTCTCCCAGGATGCTCTAGTTAATTTTTCCTGATCTCTTTGACCAACCTATGACAGTGATCCAACCATGATTTGAAAAATGGAATTACATCCTAATCCATTTCTCAAATTTGTCATTCAATCTGATAGGTGATCTGTTAGACTATTTCTTAGCCTTGTACAAGCTATACTCATTAAAGTGAGCCACTTTTCGCTTCAGCACCAATGGGAAACTTACATGATTTTATTTTAATAGCAGTCATTGAACAACTGGCAAAATTCTAAAACAGTTGGCTCTTTTGAGCAAGTGGGAGGTGTCGCCAGCACACCACTGCCCAAAAAAAACATTTTGGTTTATGTGTTTTTGTTCAAAAAACCGTTAGTGTTGAATGAAAGTCTCACAGTTAATCTACTCACTGCTCTCAGGAAATCCCTCTCTCTGACCCTGGCAGAGGCTTCTAAGCGTAGGAAAGCATTAACATCAGTCCTACAGAGCGGGGCTTTGGATGTTTGGAGAATTTGCCAAAAGCCAACTTTTCCTGAAGTGCATGGAAAGCTTGTATATTTCTAAAGTTGTATGCTTTTATTTCTCAAAGTAAACTGTGATAATAGACATCTCCTAAGATTTTAAGCATTTAAAACATTTTTTTGGTTCGATATTTGTAGAGTATGTTTGAGCTCATGGTAATTTTTAAATGTATTAAAATATCTTACATAATCTGTAAAATAGGTTAAATAGTCACAGTTCTGTCTACCTCTTCTGTTTCCTGTCTGGGTTTAGGCTGCTGATTTGGTGAGGCTGTAATTCCCCCCCCCCCCTCCCATGCTCCCCAAATGTGGGTTCTGTGGAAGAGGAAGAATTAATGGGGCAGAGGCCTGAAAACCAATTTGAAGCACTCGGAGATCTAATTGCTGACCAGCCCTATTCCTCTTGAGTTGGGGAAAAAACAAAACAAAAAGCCATTGTTTTTAATTTCCTCTTAATATGAAAATGTTTGTTTTAAAAATGTTTCTGCTGGGGGGAAAAAATGTGTTTTTAAAAGGAAAAAAAATTCCTCTTTTAGCTATAAGAAAAAGTCAGCTGTAATGAGCAGATGTGACCATATCATAACATGCTGATATGATATACATCAATAAATTTTTACCTCTCAGGACTTGGACAACCTTGTTCTTAACTCTTAGAGGCTTGAGAAACATAAGTATCCATAATCCAGATAACAAGTTCTACTTGGGAGGAGGGTGGCTAAACCACTGGCAATGAGATGGGCTTCTTTCATAATCAGAAAACACTGGATTAGCTAAAGCAGTGGTCGGCAAACTCATTAGTCAACAGAGCCAAATATTAACAGTACCACAATTGAAATTTCTTTTGAGAGCCAACGTTTTTAAACAACTTCTAATGCCACTTCAAAATAGACTCGCCCAGACCGTGGTATTTTGTGGGAGAGCCACACTCAAGGGGCCAAAGAGCCGCATGTGGCTTGAGAGCCACAGTTTGCCGACCATGGAGCTAGGGTTAAACCCATTTTACAAAGGGAGAAATTGGGATGGTGTTGCTTGTTTTCTGGAAGAAACTGGAATGAAGTTTTCTGCTAGAAAGCATGAGCATATCACAGCCCATTCCCGCATTCTCGCCTGGAGAGTTTCTGTTGCCGCCTCTTGGAGCACTGTCCGCAAGACAAACTCATCAGACAGGTTCCGGTGCAAAAGGGGTGGCCAGCCAGCCAGTCCTGTGCTCAGATCGAGGGCCGCTAAGGGTAACAGCAGCCAAGACTTCTTTTGGCTTAAACCCAGGACTGCCAGTGCCTCTGGTTAAAGTGAGTGACAGGGCCAGTCCAGGTTCAATGGGGGAGGGTCTCTGAAGGGTGTGACTACTGGGGGGCAGGGCTCGTTGAGAGCCAGCTATCTGTGAAGACCAGCTATCACCGAAAAAAAAATTCCTCAGCTGTTGAAGAGCCCTACAGGGGTCTAACGGGGTTCTTGAATTTGACAGGTTTGCCCATAATTCCAGTTGGAAATTATTTGAGCTTTCTAATACTATTTTTTTCTTTCTTTCACCGTTTATCCCCCCAGTACCCTCTACCACCTCCCCCTCCAGTCACCACATTGTTGTCCAAATACCTGTAAGAGGATGAGCTATGTAGATCCATCAGTCATTCATATAAATCCCATTAATCAAAGGAACACGTATCTGAAAGAACAGAGGTTTTGTGTGGGTGTAATCTTTATATACTGTCAGTAGTGGATGC